AATACTCGGTACATGATTCTCATTCGAATTATGTAAAAAATAGGTACTTAATTTTTGACCAAATTTCCGTATAAATAATATAAATAATGTATATCGGATTAATAAATGTAATAATAAATTCCTTGTTTTTAAAGAGAGACGCCAGCCTCGCTGACGTAACTAATGTCACTTCTTTCAGTACGTTCCATGATATTATAAAATGAAACTTCAATTGTTCTTAATGTTCCCGTATTTCTCGAAGGTTCTTCATAATCACATTATTCAATGGTCCGCACTCACTGAACTCTGCCGTCGTGTGTCCAGACGTCATATTTATACCAAGATTCAATTATAGTTCTATTCTCTTTCAAACAATCTTTGATTTCGTTTTACTTTTAACAATAATCATGAATACTAATGAGTTTTTTAATAATTGTTGACAGGCTCAAGTTATTTTCATGTCGCATCCGTTATTAAAGCTGATAGCACTGATATATATATTATATAATAGAATATTATTCTCACAAACAACGATTTTTTGTTATTTTTTCAGTTTTAACAATCAATGCTACTCATTACGAATTGTTAATATGAATTCGAGGGTGTAAACTACCCTATATTTCATAAAAAAACACGACATCGTGTTACGGCTAAAATTTTCATATTTGTATACAAAATATAAATTAATAAATTTTCTATGCTGTTATCTTACCACAAGTTTCAGAACCGAACTATAAAGAGAATTGAGATCTAAGATTTTCGCGAGTATTCATTTAAATGAAACTAATATTATTCTGATTACTCCGAGTATTTTATTGTTTTAAAAAACTATATAACGTCGGTAGTATGTAGTTTAAAATAATAAAACACACGTAGTATATCCAAATAATATTAATTTCATTTAAATAAAGAAAATTTCTTGTTTTACATGAATAAATATTTAAATATTGTAATGTGCTTAGAGAAAAGTAACTGAAATCTTTCTATTTGTAGTGTAATACTATACTAATGATAATCTTCTTACATATTATTTAGTCAGTGGTGTCCTAGTGGTTAAAAGGCCCGCCTCTCAAGCACGAGGGCGCGGGTTCGATCCTGTCAAGTACCAATGTGATTTTTCCGAGTCATATGTACTTTGTAAGAGTATTTAGACGTCAATGATTAATGCATTCCCAAAGAAAGTTGATGTCAGGCAGGCGGCCGGTCGCAAAAACAATTAGCCAAAACTATTCACAACACGTTAGGCAGACCCTGGCTAAAAGCTGGGGAATTGCCAGGTAGAAGAAGAAGAATCTTCTTACATATTATACGTTATTGATTGTTAAACGTTGAACGCTTCGTATACAGTATAATAGGAACTTAGACTAAGGATAATGATCATAAATGTCTCTTTTTATGGACATTCGAAGGTATTTTATTATGAATTTGAGTAGTAATCTGAGGATAACAGACATAAGAGCGTTCGGCATTGGCGTTGACACAAACAGGGCTATAAGTGATTTTTTAAGACGTTCTACTTTGAAAGAATTGTCATTATTGACGCAGATCGTATGAAGTTAAGATTCAATTTATATGAAAAAACAATTCAGAAATATGTTATCAGATGTTATATATATACAATAATGTGCGTATATAATGTATATTAAATATTGAATATATTTGTCATGTCATCATCCTATCAGAGCCCACTGCTAAGCAAAGGCCTCTTTCTCACATGGAGAAGGTTTGAGCATTAATCACCACGCTTGCTCAAGACGGGTTGGCGATTTCAAACGTATAATTGTGAAACTATAAGTCCAGATTTTCTCACGATGTTATCATTCACCGTATGTCAGTGATGTCTAAATACTCTTAGAAAGTACATATGACTCGAAAAAATCATTTTGGCTCTTGCCAGGATCGAACCCGCGCCCTCAACAACGAGAGGCGGGCCTTTTAACCACTGGGCCACCACCGACTTTTCACAGCATATGTAGTTGTCTTTCACACACATATACATACATATATAATTGTTTTAAAAATTATACTTATTTTTATTTCATTCAGGGAAGGGTGATATTAGAAGAGATTGCCGTAATACCTAGACTGTTTGAATATATCTAGCAATGAGATAAAAATCTTGCTAAATAGTGTTTTATTTATATTTACAAAATATGTAATAAATTGGTTAACTCTTTTTATAAATATATCCGTATTTTTTACAACCATCCCAGTTATATAATAACTTAACTTCTATGTTTATATTTTGAATACTTATTAGATACTATTTAAATATATATTATATAAAGTTTATTATATTTTCACGCAAAAAAACGTCCTTCGAAGTATTTTCATATCAATTACACTATATTTGTTCTCAAATATGTACAATTCTTCTTCAAGTTGTTTGTTGTCAATCATTGTACTAGTATTTTAACATGCGATGTGTTTCAGAATGTGTCAATGAGAACATGATACTCAATAAAGGGAAGTAATAGGAATAAAAGAAATATACACACACACATTCACAAACACACACACACACATACATATTTATATATATATATATATGTATATATACTAGCTTTTGCCCGCGACTTCATCCGCGTCAGTTTCATAATTAGAGATGTATAGTTGATCAGGCGAACTGTTTCGATTTAGAGGCAGTAAATAAAGAGATGGTGGATTTAATTAGTAATATTTTTTAATTCAAAAATATCCTATGTCCGTCTCCTTGTTCTAACCTATCTCTCCACCAATGTTCATCCATATCCGTACAGCCGTTCTCGAGTTATAAATAGTGTAACTAAGAGGACTTTCTTTTATATATATATGTAGATGGCTTTCTTAACCAAATTTTTTACGTAGATTTTCATCAATCAAGCAATTAGCTTGTTTTAACTTTGCTAAACAATCAAACTTTGTATTCTTTTGAGGTAGAAAGTCTGCTTTTGTTCTTCGTATTTAGTCCCTACAGTTAAAATAACTAGATAATTATCACAATATGATAAGAAAAAAAAGGAAGAGTTGTTATAATCAAATATCTTATTTAAAATATACTACAATTATTAATCAAATTGAAACAAAAGTCACGAAAAGATATATCCTTACGTACATATATTTGTCTATTTTAAATATCTTGCTTATTTAGTTATGTTTGAACTTATCGAATTTCTTTAATAATACAAAAAAATATATATACTAATATTATAAATGCGAAAGTAACTCTGTCTGTCTGTTTGTTACGCTTTCACGCCTAAACCACTGAACTGATTTTTATAAAAACTGGTACAGAGACAGAGTTGACCTTGAGAAAGAACATAGGATAGTTTTCATCCTAGAATTTTGAAAGGTTCTCTTGGAAACGCGATATAACCGAACTCGTCGCGGGCGAAGATGCGGACGGAAAGCTAGTAATTTATAAATTGAATTTTTATACAAAAATAAGCTGATATATATTAAAAAACATAATTGCAGATTGCCTTTAATCTTAAATATATTAAAAAAGATGGTTTTATAATACTTTTTGCCGTCACAACCATTTTCTTTGACATTTCCTAATACCACCTTGTTATTTATTCGAAGACTGTTATTTTATAAGATGTTTGCATTTTTATTGAAAAACTTCAAGCTATCAAAGATTCTTTTCAGTTTTATGAATTATACAATTATTTCACATACTACCTTTGACGGGCGACTATGCCTTGGCTAGAAAATAAATTCAATTATGATCTCCATTTATGTTAATAAAATAAAAATCATCGATAATTTTATTGAAAAAAAACCTCGTTTAAAAAATTCTATAATAATACTCATATTATTTGTTAAATTTCGAATTACAAGTAAAAGTACAAGAAAACATGTACATATTTATTAGATTAGTATTCAATATAAATTAAAAAAACTAAGAAATAAACTAAAATATTAATTTAAATATCTATCACAGTTTGAAAATGATCTCATTTTAAACTTTTTATACAGTAAATAGATTTATAAATATTTGAAGCACGTATACTTTGAGGGTAAGCAAACTTTCTTCCATATAAAAAGGGTTTTCTAGCTGAGAGACACCATTCTACAGTCGACTTCCAGCCAACATGTTTAAGCTCACAGCAATCTTATCTTTGATGCTTATCGGTAAGTTTTTATGTGAAAAAAAATCTAGAATAATATATCAAGAAGTTTACTTAGTTATAGATTATTTAGAAGCCATATTTCTCTGGAAATTTTCGGTCTTATAGACCCAAATCATTCGTAAATAAGATCGATGAAATCATCATCAGCCTATCAGAGCCTCTTCTTACATGGAGAAGGTTTGAGCATTAATCACCACGCTCGCTCAAGACGGGTTGGTGATTTCAAACTTAAAACAGGAAATTATAAGTCATAGTTTTCGTTCATCATCTGTCAGTCGTGTCTAAATACTCTTAAACAAACATATGACTCACAAAAAAAAGTCACATTGGTACTTGCCCGATCGAACCCGTGTTCTCGTGCATGAGAGGCGGGCCTTTAACATCTAAGCCACTATGATTTACTTAGATTGATGAGAGCTCAAAAACAATTATCACCAGTCAAACGTAACACAGAAAAATTGTATCTTTTTTTCTGTAGGGACTACTCACTTCAAAATTATTAAGAATAACTAAGGATCCAGCATCCAGAAAAATAAATAAAAATATATATGAAATAGAAAAACTATTATAAATATATTTTATGCTATAATAATATTAATCAAATTTAGAATCTCCTTTATTATTTATTCCTTGCCCTCATTTACATCGACATAATGGGAATTTCCAATCTATTGGCTCACATAATTTGTTTTAGGCGGATATTTGACGTTTCCGTATAAAAAAATATTCGGACTACTAAAATAATTTAATAAGCGTTTTGTTTTACTAAATATTATAAAGTTTTTCCCCAAGCTTATATTCTATCAAAAATAGGCTCAAAAAATACATTTTTTTGTCAAAATATTTCAATCGCGATTGATACGTAAAGCCAAGATATGTTTACAATTTTTATTATTAATTGTTCTTATGCTAAATTGTTTTGTGTCAGCGACTTGGTCGCTAGCGGACTCTAGACGTCATAAAAGAGATGCAGCCTCGTCTCCAGACTACAACTCAGGTATAGATATAGTTGGAGATTGGTGGAGATTTGTGGAGATTGGTAGAGATTGGTGGAGATTTGTAGAGATTGGCGGAGATTTGTAGAGATTGATAGTAACTTATAGTGGAATTGTTTGCACAGATGCATGATTTACGCATGTATATTCCTTGGAAGTACAGAAAATATAGTAATTTATTACAATTGGTAGTTAGTCACGAAAATTGTGTACTTGTAGTGTTTTATAGTGGTGGTGTCTTGTGTTCAATTTTTCCATGTGCAGTATCTAGTAATTTTTGTTAGTATTTCTCGTAGTAAGTTATTATTATTGACAACTAAGGTTTCTTTATTCAGGGAGCACGATGTGGGCAGCAAGTTTGTCCTGTGATTCCTGCGGCAGTGAGTGTGCTTCTGCTTGCGGCACGAGGCATTTCCGATCCTGCTGCTTCAACTATTTGAGGAAGAAACGTGGTCCTGATGCTAAGGTGAGCAAAAAGATTAAGTTTACTTACAGTAATATAGCGGTGACATTATTTCAAGTGGCGCCTTCTGTGCCGTACTAATTATAATATACTATAATCCATACAATTATTATTATGACTGATTATAATGAATGATAATACTGAACCATTGTAATGTATCAACATGAGTATCACGTGTTTGTAAACTATCAATACTGGCTTCACACATCTTGTAACACATTACTGGAAGTAACTATGAACATTGAGAATCAAGACTGAAACTGTAGCTAGAACAATATCCTTTTGAAAATTGCTGTCAAGTGAAGTAAATTTGCGTTCTTGATTATTTTGCTTCTGGTTTTAATTTGATTGTTTAAATAAATCACATCTTTACTGACAACTGAATTGCTTCACATAACTTTCAGTAACTTAGAATACATTTACAAACATTGTGGACATATAGAAAATTTTTCACTATTTTGCTAGAGAGTTTAGTTTCCCGGAGAAGATACATTGAATTAAGTAATTATAAGTTCTCCAGCAAGTCCTATAACGATAAAAATTCCAGAGTTTTTTGATTTTGAAATATGAAAATGAAATATTTCACCTCCATTATTTTTTTGCAGTTTCTTTCTCACAACGACGAGTACAAAACCGATGCTCACAAGCCAAAATTCCCGTTGTATGTTGTGGATGATATACCAGAAGCTTGGAGCCACAACGTCCCAACAGATTTCAAGTTCTATCCCTATGATGATACGATTGAAAATAAATTGCAATACCTGTATGATATGTAAACGATTTAAAGGCTGCCATGTATATAGTAAAATAATGTATAATTTTGTAAAACGTCGATTATTCGAACAGTAATTTATAGTAAATTTGCTTCATTTAATTATCTAGGCTGGGTAGATATTAAATTTAGCAAATTGGTATGCTTACCACGATGTTTCATAGTTATGATGAAGGCCCAAAGAGGGTTGATGTCAGGCAGGCGGCCGGTCGTAAAAACAATTAGGCCAAAATTTCACAACACATAAGGCAGAACCTGGCTAAAGCTGGGAAATGGCCAGGAAGAAGACGGAGGTAGTAATAATTTTACTCATTCATTAATCTTCGCAGTGTTGACGTAAGAAAGAGATAATGGAAACTTCGTAGGTAGTGAGAAACTTGTGGTAGGCATACAGGTCTATTAATTTAGCATCTGTTATCTTCAATATAATTACCAATAAAGTATTGATATTTAAATCTGTGTATTTATAGTTTATTTCTTTTAAGAAATCTTCCTTTAATTAATCCTTGATTTTCTCACTTCATGATAATTGAAATTTTGATTAAAACCTTTTTTAAATGGAGAGTAATAATAATATACATATATAGTTATACTTCAGCATAAAGAAAATATAAATACAAATAGGTATAAAATATAGACATTTTTTGTAATAGTAATTATTATGGCAATTTTATAATTTTAAGAAAAACTCAAACTCTAGTCATTTACATCTCGTCTTAATGATCACGGTTGCTGTAAAGTAACCAAAACGTCGGGAGTATGCAGTTTATAGTCAAAAAGAAAGTCGCGTAGTAGGTATATACGAAAAATATAAGTTCATGATTTCAAATTGATAAAAAGATGTGAAATCAATTAATATATTTTAATGTGAATATTTCAATTCAACAACGCCATCTGCACATTCTTCTAAACATTGTTAAGTTTGCACGCTTTATAAGTAGTTCTTAAAAATTATAATAGATAGATGTCACCTTCCGCAAACAGTAAAAAAAGATTCAGGCAAATTCACTGGTCTAGTTTAATTAAAATTTCTAGCTGTTAGAAATACATTACGCAATGAAATTATTACTTTTATTTAATGATGAGTAATTGAAAATCTTATAAAATTATATAACTATAAAAATAAAATATTATATAACTATACAGGGTGACTGGTGAATTACTATCAATATTTAAGGAGAATACTCGGTACATGATTCTCATTCGAATAATATGTAAAAAAATAGGTACTTAATTTTTGACCAAATATAAATAAATAAAGTGAGGACACGTTTCAAGTTTCCAAGTGTGGACGCGTGCGGCGGCGTGCTGATACAACAACACTCCGCCGCACGCGTGTGTGTGTGTGTGTATACCTAATCTGTAGGGTGTTCACACGATGCTTAATTAATTACATAACTTTTGGTTAACTTTACTTAGAAGTTTATTAATATTTATGTTATATTAATTTTTATTTTGTCATATATGATCGTCAACTACCACGTCCTCAAGTATCGATAGTAATTCACCAGTCACCCTGTATAAAGTAATTATATGTGTAAACATCGGTTAAACTTTCTTTATGTTTGTAGTTTGTATAGTGTCAACATAAAGTATAAAATAATGATGAAACACATTCCATTAAGACCAGCGTTAATTGGAATTATCATGGGAACTGATAGAAGGCACTAAAAATTTATATATTATTAACTGTTTCCCGCAACTTCGTCTACGTAGAAACATAAAGCAATGAAAATACTTTTAAGCCTCGTTTGCACCCCGCCTTAAACACGCGTTTAATAAAGCTTAATTCCGAGTTTTTGATAAAAAGTTTAATCCTTAATCGTTCTAGCCATTTGTGAGAATAGTCGTAACACACAGACAGATAGAGAGAAATTGTAAAAAATGTTATTTTGACGTCTGTACCGTATTCACATGCATGTAGTAAAAAACGATTATTTCAATATTACAAACAGACAGTACAATTATATTTATTTGCATAAATTCATAGAATAAATTAGTTACATTCTGGGTAAATTTAAGAAGAATTAGGTGACGTTTCCTAAATTATTTCAATTTCTATAGGGCATCTAATATGTGATAAATAGAAGATATATTCAATAAAAATAAAAAGAAAAGTGTTAATCACTAAAAACCAATAAAATAACCACACCTTATGAACTTAATTTTGTGATAACTCATAAAATTCACATCTATTTCTAAAATTAAATTTCTTTTTATTGTTAAGTGTCCCATTTTAACTGAGTGCAATTAACAAATTATACTTATTTATTTTTAATGCTATATTCCTATAAATATATAATATATTAGAAGACCTGGCGAACTTCGTATCGCCCTATAATCAAGAAATATCTATTACGTTTTTTTATGTATATTTGTGGAGTTTACCTGTAAGCCATAAATCTCCGTGTTTTGAAGTGCGACAGAATGATTGACATATTAGTGAGTTGTCAAATCTAATGTCAAAAAAAAAGTTTGTATGGGAAATAGAAAAGGGCTGTTTTTATGGTTTTCCCAGTAATGAATCAATTTTTTTCAGCTTTTATACCTTCCCTGAACCTCCACGAACATTTCAAGACTAAGATAAGATAAATCCGTTCAGCTGTTCTCGAGTTTTAGCGAGACTAAGGAACAGCAATCCATTTTTATATATATAGACTAGTTTTTGCCCGCGACTTCGTCCGCGTTAATTTCGTCATTAGTAATATACATATGTATAGCTGACCGGGCAAACTCTATTCCGTCTTCAATAACCCGGTATTGGTATTTATTAAATTTCTACTGTTTCAATCGAACAGAATGATTGACATATTAGTTAGTTGTCAAGTCTAATGTCAAAAAATCGTTTGTATGGGAAATAGAAAAGGGCTGTTTTTAGGGTTTTCCCAGCAATTTTTCCAATTTTTCTCACCTTTTACACCTTCCCTGAACCTCCACGAACATTTCAAGACTAAGATAAGATAAATCCGTTCAGCTGTTCTCGAGTTTTAGCGAGACTAAGGAACAGCAATCCATTTTTATATATATAGAAGATATCATAAAAAGGTTTAAATTAAACCTACTTACGTCACTTATTTACCTGTATTTATTTGAATTTTATACCAAACTCATCAGCCAGTCTTCAACAAACACAATATAAGAAATTGTTTGCAAATAAAATACGAAATTGTCTTGGAATTTTTTTGATGTTACATTTTGGTACATGTTATAATGTAGGTATTAAAGACTACAGTTCTCCCGCGACTTTTCTCATGAAACAAGAGGAATACACAAATAATACAGTATTTTAATATATAGATACTTTTATCTAGCAACAATGATTTCTTTAGCTTATCTCCGTGATTTTATACACAATACAACTTTTATAAAGAAACCGTGTGGGAACTACAAAGATCGTCTTCCACCTGGCAATTTCCCAGCTTTAGCCAGGGTCTGCCTTATATGTTGTTTTGGCTAATTGTTTTTACGACCGGCCGCCTGCCTGACATCAACCCTCTTTGGGAATGCATTAATCAGTGATTTCTTAATATTATTATAAAGTACATATGACTCAGAAAAAGTCACATTGGTACTTGCTAGGGCCAGGATCGAACCCTCACCTTCATGCATGAGAGGCGGGCCTTTTAACCACTAGGCCACCACTGACTTTAACTACAAAGATGTGGGCATTATAGTCTTTGTCTTATCCTGATATATAGATTACAATTCTGTAAAGTTTTATCAAAATCTGTTTATCAGTTTTTGCGTCAAAGACCAACTAATACTCATACATTGATGCATCAAAACTTTCTAAGCAATTTCAATTATCACTATATAACTGTGCTATTTTTTATATTTATACGATTATGACTAATTTCAATATTTGTTTTGTAAAAACAAAATAGTTCACACGTTTGGTTTTAATTATGTTATATACGCGCAGCACGTTAAAAATTAAATGAACATCGCCGGGCGACATCGTTGTATGTATAAAATATATAACGAGTGACGCCGCTGACTGAACCAGAGTGAACCAGAGTGAACCGCCGAGTGAACCAGAAGACTCCTGATACACACAAGCTATGGAATGGTATTGCTATCATAACATCGGGTCTATCATGTAGTCTTAGGTGTAGGTTATAAGTTTTAATATGTAGTTCTTATTATAATATACATATAAGTAAGTTTCGTAGTTTTCCTGAAACCTCATGTTGCCATCCATAATTATTAAAACGATTATTAACATCATAATGACAAAAAAATCATTATTTAACTTACTCTTAAACATTTGAAGTATCTTTCTTTTACTAATTAGTATTGAAGTTACAATCACAACCAGGGCCGGGTTATGCCTGTCGGGGCCCCTAGGCAATGCTCATCCAGGGCCCCCTACCCTCTTCTAATTTTTTCGTTAACACAACAAAATTCAAAATTACACCGTTTTTTACTAACCTGGGTATATCATCATATTATTCAATAAAAATGTTGAATCAAATGAACAGAATGTTTATTTATGCATTTAAAAAAACATACATAGCTTAAATATTAACTCTTCTAACTTTTTTTGATACAAAATCGTTCTTGATATCCTGAAAGGTAATCTTCTCCAACACGTCATTTTCAATTGCCATTATATCCAATGAATTTAAACGGTTTTGAGACGTCGTTGAACGAAGACAGTTTTTAATTAATTTCAATTTGGAAAAGTTTCGTTCACCAGTGGCATTTGTAATCATTAGACTTCTATATATTTGCAAAGCTGTCATTACATTCGGGAAAGTTGACTGTGCCATGTTACCAATAATCAGTTTGTAAGACTCCTCGGCTGGCATATTTTTTTGTCCGGCGTCATCTAATTGTAAGATGAAGTATTTATACTGCACCATTTCGTCTATAAACTCAGGCTCAATGTCCTCGAAATAATGATCCTTAAATTTTGTACAAGTAATCAGTACTGCCAACCTTATGAAAGTAGCTTGGCCATAGAATATACATACTTGGTAGGTACCAGTATAGTAAGTGTGC